ACTTCCGTCAAAAAATGATAATTTTGATTCCAGTACAGCGAGCTTTGATATAAATATGTTTTATAAAAAAGAATTTTTAAGCGTTTAAGAAAAAATTACAGACTTTTTAAGACTAAAAATGGTTGTAGAACGTTAGAATTCAATATCAAACGGTCTTACAAACCTTTTATACAAAAAGAATATTAGAGAAATTGATTCTGCTTTTTCCACCTGATCACATGCCTAAGTCCTAAGCGTTTCTTACATTTTGCTTGATAATCTTAATAATGTTTGATATTCGAGCGCGATGGCTTTAGTCTAGGACTGTTTCGCCCTTTATTCGACGTTTCGCCACATGTGGTTGACATTCTCATGGACATTTATTCCAGTTTTCGAATGATGCAAAATAATTTTATAAGTAATTAGAAATTGTTAGAATAAATGTGAAAGTAGAGGTTATTATACTCTGATTGAATTTATTAATCAGGGAAAATTAAAAGTATTTTCAGAAATTAATTAACATAAATTGCTTAACTTGAAAAAGTGTATTACGAAAATATAGCGAAAAGATTATTCAGAAAATATCTAACGATCAACAAATCACATAAATTTTCGGAGAACAATCAATATTCCTAATATTTTTTTTATATTTTTAAAGTTCAGAATATGTACTTTTCTAGGATTTGCCTTTTTTCTTTAATTTTTTTCTCCAATTAAACGTAAAAAAAACACCCTATATACATAATTCTTCTTCTTTCCCTTCCATTCTTCTGTCATAGATAAATATTTTTGTTTAGACATCTATGAAGGCATGAATTGTCAAATTTTAAGTAAGATCTTCTAAGGTGCAATTAATCCGTAAAAAAACGTAAATTTGCATTGTAATATTCAGTTTTCGAAATTAGTTTTTGTTTAACGTTTATAATGAGCGATAATAAACCGAAATTAGATTTGGGAGTCTTAGAAGAAGACGATGAATTCGAAGAATTTCCAGTTGAAGGTTAGTTATAGGTTAGAATTTGTTTTTGTTCCTGAATTATGCATCTTTTCTATATAGATTGGACTGGAAAAGATAAAGATGACCAAGATATAAGTGTATGGGAAGACAATTGGGAGGATGATAATGTAGAAGATGATTTTAATAAACAACTTCGGTGAGTGTCTGTTTACATTTAGAGAGTACATACAACTTTCTTTGTTGTTTTAGGGCACAATTAGAGAAACAGAAAACAAAACCAGGAAACTAATTACTTATAAGTTCCTTATTTGATTTGTACTAATTTTGATTCTACATTGTTACAACCTATAAGTTAAATAAATGTCATTTTTTTAATATTTGGTTTAATTTTAATTAAACCTAGTCACTAATGCATTGTCCTGTATTACTTTTGTATTAAGCATTGGAAAAGTAATGCTTAATGTAGGCTTTTCACATTACAAAAGTAATGGTTAGGTACTGTAAATAATTTACATTATACTCACTGTAAAAATAATAGATAATGTAAGTTATATAAATTATATACATCTCGAAATACACACTCTTG